CCCGCCTCACCCAGGCAGCAGACATTCGATGATTTTCCTCCCTTAAAAAAAAATAGATGCCTTATGTTTCAGTTTTATGAACAAAATACAAAGAGTGCAACACCATTAAGCATGATTTCATAAACAGGTGTCATAGAACAGTCATTCTTTACTACTGATTAACGAATTTTACTTGTGCCGGCTTGAGAAATTCGTATTATTGTCATATTCAATCATGCAATATTTTTATACGTTATATAGTATTCGTATCTAGTTGTAAACAAAACCATTGGCCTCTTTTTTAAGGAGTTGAGACTAAATTAATTTAAACATTAATTATTATGTTTTCGGTTTACTCACGTAACTGTTTAACGAGGAAGTCGACTAGTTTCAAGCCATGCTAGAGGCTCATATTCATGAGCAGTAATCCGCGACCGACGCCACTATCGCCGCGTCGTCGTGGACCTGACTGTTTGACTGTAAAAACATGTTCTAAAAACCACTTCTCTAATTACCCTTTTGTCACCGCACACCAATTTATCAATTATTAATTCTTGTATGCCAAATAGATACTGATTGAATTCGTAGCTTTGACTTGAATAATTTTTTACTGTGTTTAAGTGTAATCAGTAAAAAATAAATAAAGTTTCACTTTCTATCAAAAGTAAGGAGCGCATGAATTGTTTTAGCACCATTTTATTCTTTATTTCAGGTAAAGTGAACTCGCTGATAGGGTTGGTAGAGAACCTTATGCCTTTGATATACGTGCCATTATACACGAGGGTGTACACAGCCACCATGGAAGTGTTGCCAGGTGCTGTGTTTCTGCTGGGAGCCAGCATGACACTGCCTGCTGTGATAGTGCTCTTGTAAGTATAGTTTTACCAGCTTCTGCCTGCGCCTTCATCTAATTCGTGGGACAAAAGTACCATATGTGTTATTCCAGACTATAATCTATTCTTTTTTCAAATTTCATCCCGATCCCTTCATTGATCCCGTTTTGACATGGTATCCCGTAAAAGCGAAAGCTTGTGAGTTTCGCAGTTTCACGGGTATTAGAGAGATTTTATAATTAACTAAAAATCGCGGGTTACCCACGTGAATATACTGAGAAAATCTCTACTAGTTTCTAACCATAGTTTCTGTGGTTCACTACGCTGTGGTTCGAAACTAGTAGAGCTTTTCTCAGTATATTCACGATAGATTTTATAATATCAAGTAAGAAATAAGATTGCCTCTTGTTACCTTTTTTATGAAAACACACAGTTTTACCTAACAACCCAAGTTCATAGCCGATCATAATCCAACGTCAACCAACAACCAACGTCGGTACAACCTGGGTGACTAGTCTTGAGTGAATTATTTGCGAGCAGGTGTGCTTCATCGTAGGCCGCATCTTCGCTTACCATCAGGCGAGATAGTAGGCAAGAGGTAATTGGTAGGCCAATAGGTAGCCGGGTAGCCCTATCAACAATAAAAAAATGTTTAAATTAAGAATTTGTTTTACATTACTTGTATGGATTTTCAAAAATCATGATCGATCTACATTTGCCGATTTAGGATCAAGGGCAGATTTTTCAATGGTCAGTTGAGAGGAATAACTTTCTTCATACAAAAACCTGTCAACTGTCAATTGACTGCACGGTTGATGCGGTGGCCGGGCAACCGGCTGCTGTGCAACGTGTCACGGGTTCGATTCCCGCACGGAACAACACTTTGTGTGATCCACAAATTGTTGTTTCGGGTCTGGGTGTGATGTGAATGTGAACTATGTTTGTAAACGCACCCACGACACAGGAGATAATCCTAGTGTGGGACAACGTTTTTTTTTTTTAAATATTCTACAGTTAAGAATTAACTGATGATTGAAAAATCTGCTCTAAGACCGGTTATTTAGTTTGGTCGAACTTAGACAGCTTTTCCATGTTTATAAAATCAAGTCCTATCACTAAAATTATTGTCAATTCGTATACTGACTAACATGTTTGTTCTGTTCATTACAGTTGGCTGTTCTTCGAACACAGAAAAGAAGTGCGAAAACAGAAGAAACATTCAAAGCATCCTGAAATACTCGAGTCATAGAATAAACCTAGTTTAGTTAGTGAAATGTAATTAATTCGTCTATTTAGTAAGTCTAGCTATAATTGTTTAAAATGCGCCTAATACATTTGTACCGAACTCCATTTTAAATAAATTTTTTATAATAATATTTTTGTATGCATCTACTATTTTCTGTCTTAAGTGGTAAGCAACGGCTTGCCAGGGCTCCGGCTCGAAGTGCAGGAACGAGGTGGATTTTAGTCAGTAAGAGTCTAGCACTCCTTCTCGCCCCACCCAGGTGGGAGAGATCATCCAATGACTTCTCTCACCAGTCATTGGATGATTTACAGGGGGTAAATCATCCAATGACTTCTCCCACCCACAAAAAACAGTGGTAAGTCAGAAACGTGAAAGTTCTAAAATGAGATTTCGAAATTCATTCATTCATTAATGGACTATGAGATTATTTTAAATAAGACTGCCATAACCTCCCCGTGATTTTTGCAGTTCAAGTTTATTAGAGGGTATCGGTGTGTCATCAAATCTAGAGGTATGATAGTTCCTCAGTCGGTCCTTATAACACCCGCGCATTGAATAGACATAGTCTGCTTCATTGTCACTTAGGGTTGCCCAGTGCCAGCGTAAGGGCCACTGACGCCCCGGGCGAAAATATTGTGGCGCCCACTTGAGGGAAGCAATATCAAGTGTTAAGTTTTTGCTGATCCCAAGTAAAATTATATTAAGAATTTTATCTTTCCTTTAGCGTTACCCAGAGTTAACGACGCGGACCATAAACCCTCAAAAAATACATCTAAAAAATATGCAAATCTTAATAAAAAATATGCATATGTACAGAGCGTAGAGCACAATTCTGAGGGTTTGCACCAGGAGAGGCAAGACTCCAACTTCAGACCTTGGCGCCCCTAGAATTTGTCGCCCTGGGCCATCGCCCCATCACGCCCATCCCTAACGCCGGCAGTGTCACTACAGGACTTAAGTTAGCACGCATCATGATTATTTTACCTGTTAATCTGACGTCAACATGACCTAAAAAAACACCAATTAGATCATTAGACCATTAGGTCTCTTATAACGTAGGTAGGCTAGCAAACTATCATTACCTGTAGCTAGAAGCCAGGAAGTCGTTAATGAGGTCTTCCGCTCTTAGAAGACGGTAACTGATTAGCTAATGAAGGTCAAGTACTAATCTAACGTAATATGATATAATGTGACTCCACTTAATCCTCAAAGTAGAGTGTTAAACACAGTAACAACTATTTTTCGTCAGTAACAACCATTTTTTTCCATATTGCCTTGCACTAGATTTTTATCCTTTTTACAAAGATACAAGTTCACATACACATGAAATCTAGATCCAAAACAACAATTAGTGGATCACACAAAGAGTTGCTCCGTGTGGGAATCAAAACCTCTACACATTGCGCTGTAGCCACTACGCCAAACGCATGGTCAAAGTCAAAGTCAGTTTTGTTATGAGTTCCATGTCCTGCTTAAGGGATGACCCTCTTGCCATACACCGAGCATAATTCCAAGTTCCATGTTTAATCTACTAACAATAAATCTTAAGAGTTTGTTTGTTTGGTCACGCTATTTTCTGTAACCACTGGTCCGAATTGAATAATTCTTTTTGGGTTGGATAGTCCATTTATGGAGGAAGGCTATCCCCAATACGAACTGAGCAACGGGATAGCTGAAACTGCGAGGGATAGTATAACTTAACATAACATTACGCCTTTTATCCCCGAAGGGGTAGGCAGAGATGCACATTATACCACTGTACAACACCCACTTTTCACTATTTATGTTATGAGTCCCATGTAATAGGGGATGAGCCTATTGCCGTATACGGGGCACAGTAGTAGACCCCGTGCTACAACTGAGATTTTTTTTAAATCCCGGTATTACTTTGCCCGACTCGGGAATCGAACCCGAGACCCCTTGCTCGGCAGTTGCACTTGCAACCACTCGGCCAATGAGGCAGTCTTACATTACAACTTAACTCGTCGAGTACCGTCATTATAGACACAATTATAGAACAATAGGTTGCGGTCACCGGTGACCGCTTGGTGTTTGACAGTTTAATCGCCCTTTGCTTAGCAGTCACACTTGCAGCTACTGCAACTGATCAAAATCAACGACGAAAGTGTGGTTTTTAACTAAAAATCGTTACTCATGTGAATATACTGAAAAAAGGTCTATTAGTTTCGGGTCACAGAGGGGTCCTTCCTCATGAGCAGCGTGCGCGGTCGCAGGCTGCGCGACATCGCCCCTACCGATTTAGTATGTCTCACGATAGTTATTATAAAAATAGTGTGGTTTTTCTTTGTTACTATCCTTAAGCTAGATCTGATATGATCAAAGTATCAAGTTATGTAATAAGCAAGTTTCCCTATTATTGTGGGACAGACAAGTGGGTATTACCCTCAGAAAATAACTGTCGTCTCGGTAATATAACGTTTTATAGTTTAAACTACAAAAATAACAAGGAAATCCCTAGCCGTTATCACAACAAACACGATTACAGTAATAATAATATTTTTATTCTGAATACCCGAAACTCTACATAATAGGACAATATTTACCAAAACGTTATATTTACAATAGAAGTAAATAAACAGATTCGAGGAGATAAGAATAATCTTTGCGTATGCGAAATATGACCTCATTGGCAGAATGGCCGGTGTGAAGTTCAATTTTTAAAATCACACATTTTGAAAATATCCTCGCCCGAAGGTATAACCTTTAGTGATAGATACTTTACTTATTACAAGGGACTTAATAAAAAACAAAGGAAAAGTGCACCTAGTGCAACCTTTCGTAGAAACGGGTGATGTTATACTTACGATAGAATCGAGTTGATTCACACTAATGAGCATAAAACCAAGTCGTTTGCATCGCCCAGCACTATGTACATAGTACGTACGTACGACCACTTTAGGCAACGGTGCTCGCGTTCATTTAGACCGCCCAAAGAGTCAAGTCGTGCGCCGGTATCGTCTGGCAGCTGAATGCTGTCTCATTAACATGTCTGCGACACATTTCAATTAATTTCACAACGAATAATTAAGGAAAACAAACTGTTTATTTTTATTAATAATAAAAATAGACTTTACAAAGTGTATACAAGAATCTCGGGAAATTCTATAAGTGTTTACTATTCTAAGCCCGTAATTTCATTATGGGTGTTAGAAAGCGCTGATAAAAAGCAGATGCACGCAATTGGCTCCAGTCATATTCCTTATCAGTATCAAGTCGAGACAATATAAATATTGAGTTGGATAAAATAATGTATATTACAAGCATCACAACAAATAACAGTTATACAAATACACGCAATCCTGAGGTGTTGTTCTTCAATATAGGCGTTACATATACTAGTGACGCTTGAGGCATAACATTGACATGTAACAGAAAGTTTCGAAGATGGACCCGTGTAAAATAGAACATAAAAATGTTGAAGAGGAGGAAAATAAAGAAAACATCGATGAATCTTCTCCTCTCAAACCAAATGGAGAAGAAAATGTCAAAAGTGAAAAAGAAGAAAAACACGAAGAAAAAAATGAAGAAGTTAAGAAAAAGAAGCTCACATTCAGAGAAAGGCTAAAATTAATAAAAGACAATACAACGGTAGAGCCTATAATGGCCTGCTATGTGATGCCCAGTGTACTTGCATCGTTAGCTATACAGAATTTAAATTTAGAAAAAGCCTGCAGAGTCAACTTGAATTACAGCACAGAAGTGTGTGACGCTTTGAATTTGAGGCAGACAGAGAACTATACTCTTGAAGAGCAAGCAGTACAGAAGCTGACAGCCAGTGTGGGAGTGTGGAAGAATGTGGTGCAAACTTCTATCCCAGTGCTACTTATCCTTTTCGTGGGAGCCTGGAGTGATAAGACGGGGAAGAGGAAAGCATGTATCATGTTGCCTATAGTGGGAGAATTTATAGCGTGTCTTGGGTTCATTGTAAATACATATTTCTTTAATTGGCCTGTAGAAGTGTCTGCGTTTACTGAAGCAATATTTCCTGCTATAACGGGTGGATGGTTCACTAATTTTATTGGTGTCTTCAGTTACATCGGAGATATTACTACAGAGGAAAATAGGACTTATAGAGTGGGCTTAGTAAATATGTTCATGTCATTAGGCTATCCTATAGGTAGTGCATTAAGCGGTGTTATGCTCTCCTGGGTTGGATACTATGGTGTGTTTTCCGTATCATCGTCTTTGTACTTATTTAGTTTAATATATGGGTACAAATACTTGGAAGATCCGAAGCAAAGAGCTGTAAAGAAAATAGTAAGTAGTTTTTTTATTTTGTCAACGTGATATATTTTTTTCTACAAGAAAGATTAAAATTTTCTACTTATTTGGCAACTTAGCTATTGCCTAAGAAACATATTTTTGATTTCACCGTTTTTTGTCACTTAAAATTATTGTTACATTATACATATATATTTTTTGAAAAAAGTGTTAAAATTAAAATTATTTAAGAGATTACGTTATTGTATTTCTAAGCCAACGCAGAATTTAACATAGGTTTTTGAGCTTACCACATCTTTGTCATTATTTTATTCCTTTTTAATTTTGTACTTTTCTGACCTCAATATGCAATTTTTAGGAAAACAAAAAAGACAAGAAATGTTTCCTTCGAGAATTCTTCGATGTTGGTCTGGTGATGGAAACCTTCAGGGTAGCTTTTAAACAAGGTCCTGGAAACAGGAGGCTACGAGTGTGCTTACTTCTCATTGTAGTATGCGTTGTATTTGGACCAATGCATGGTGAGTGAAAATAACTTAACTTTACTGTTATTGACAGTTGCAACTATAGTTGTATTTTAAATTGATGAATTTGCGTTTCTGTTATTTATGTTTAGTGCTTTCGATTATATTGTTTCTTTAAAATTTGAAAATAACTATTTCCAACTAGATATTTCTATACTCATATTATTTACTCATATTTAGTTATATTTTTTTACGTCGGTCTCTGCAATGTACGTGAGTACCGTAAAGGTAGCCAAAAAATGGTCAACCTCAGAATGAGCTGAAAAGTCGTATAAACCTTTATTTTACCTTTTTATATGGTGCCTTAAAGGTCTCGTAAAGTCTCGTCTCTTTGTCTTAAGGTATTCAAGGTCAAAGGTCGCATGAAAAGATTTTTTTTTACATTTTTGGATGTATGTTGACTTTAGGTAAAGTTTATGGCAGCCGCCCGATAATTTTTCAACTAATATTTATTTAACATACCATTAATTTGTTTCGCGTTGTTAAGTAAATTAGTTACTTACTATTATCAATTTTTAATTGCATTGCTTGAGAGCAAGGGCATAGTTTAATTTTCAAAACTCACATTTTGAATTTCGATCAGCAGAATTGTCATCTTTGTAAATGACGTTTGAATTGTTAAATTATTTGAAGAATCATCTGCCGCATTACGTGACAAACACTTTAGAGCAAACTAAAGTAAATTAGTTTATTTCTTAATAATCATTATGTATCTTACGTCATATATGTGTTTATTTTATTCTTTTAGGTGAATTCACCGTGATGTATCTGTTTACAAGATACAGGTTTAACTGGGATGAAGTCCAGTACAGTATGTGGTCTACTTACTCTATCGTCACCAATTTGATGGGTAAGTAATATGCTGGTGTCTAAGTTAATTAAATATTTGACAATGACTAGTCTTACACATTTTATATGGGGTGTAATTGTGTATCTTTGACCTCTAGGAGCGAAAACTACATTTGGATGAGTTATTGAGACTGGCCGTCAGCACATCTTAGTATCTAATTTACTCATTAACAGCCGAAAGACGTCCACTGCTGGACAAAGGCCTCCCCCTCAGTCCTCCACGTCGAACGACAACTCGCCACCTGCATCCACTGGCTCCCCGCAACTCTGTTTCCTCACTACCTAATCATTGCTTGCCACTAGGCGAGGTGGTGGCCAAACGCCATCCTATTAACTATAATCAAAACACAAATTGGTCATTTGTATTTTTGAAGACGACACTCGATACGTATTATAATAATTCTCATCAACAGCTTACAACTAAATAGCCACCACTGACCAAAGGCTTCTCGCACGCAGGTTTGAATATTAATCACCACGATTTGATTTTTCGATTTCAAACCTATAATTAAAATTACAAGTTCAGGTTTCCTCACTATGTTTTCCTTCACCGTTTGCCATACATACATAACTTTATGCCCGTCTCCCATGGACCAGACAGAGACTATGGAACGCCAATTGCCGTGACTCTTACATACCTTTACCGTTTGTTAGTGGTGTCTAAATAATCTTAGAAAGTACATAGAACTCGGAATAAGTCACCTTGGTTTGGCCTTAGGTAGGTTTCGGACCCGAAACCTCGTGCATGAGAAGCAAGCGTCTTCACCTTCAGTCTTCAGTCGTCAGCACCTTCGGGCTACCACGACATTCATTATTATATTTATATTATTTAGTTTTAATTACGACGTTCGATTGATGATCCAATTAATATATTTGGGTTATCTTCTAATATATTGTGTTTCAGCGGGGGGATTCAATAAATACTCGTAACTAAGATAGTATTATTGTTTGTTTTTCATATATAACTGAACTGATATAAGTGAACTTTGATATAAAGATAGATAGACTAGTCCTAGGAATAAGCTATCAGCTTATTTTTGCCAACTATTGCATGTGATAGCAAATTTTTTTTATTGGATACAGTGTTGGTGAATTTGAATCTAAATGAAAGGGTTTTTTTATTGTCCAAATCTATAGTGTTCCATGTGGTGTAGTAGGAATAGGCGTGCCTAACAAATACTACAAACTTGCACCCACGCGCGAGAGACACCGGACGGTTTTTACTTTCTAGTCAGTAAGCGTCCCGAGGTTAGGGAATTCCACGAGGATTTTCCTCCTTGATGAATTGTTTCTAAGACATAAGAACATTGTCAACCTAGAACTTGTATCATTTTTGCGAACAACCGTGTAAATACTTCCTTATTAATGCAAGAAGGTAATCGTCTGGTTCCGGCTGTTTCATCCTATGGTCGTTCTGAATTATCAATGGTGTTCTAGAGATGACACATAATATGTGTATTAGTCATAAATCATTGAAATGTAGGAAGATTAAAGGGAATTTAGTTTGTATTTGATTTTGTGTAGGGTTTGTTTTTGATTGGTATATTCTATTGCATTTTGTTAACACGAAATATGGAATATAAACCTTTTTGCTCTTTAATAATGAGACAATTGAAATTAGTAAAATGATGATGCACGATAACGCATATTTCAATGAATCAGTATACTACATTACATGCGGGAAAAATATCTACCAGTTGTCATAACTGTTTTAAATGAGGTTATCCATTGCAGGTACATTCTTCTCCATAACTTTATTCAGTAACTACATGAAGTTGGATGACACGCTGCTTGGTATCATCTCCAACACCAGTAAGATTGTCGCAGCCTTCGCGTACGCCTTTGCGAGAAATGACTTGGAGATTTATTTAGGTAAGTAAAATAGATTCCTACAATTACTTTTTTAATCTATTTGATTTTGAGCCCCGATGTGGCTTGAAATAAGTTGAGAAAACTCGATAAGTTTACGCAAGCTATGTTATGTAAGTAAGGTACTTGCTTCGGTAGTACATATACTAAAAAGGTAATGAAAAATTATTAGACACGTATTTTTTTATTTTGTCGTATAATAAAACAAGACTTAAATAAAACGTCATTTCTACGTATAAAATGTACATAGAAGTGACGTCACGTGACATTTCAAATCAATAAATTGTCGAAAGTATTCGTTTCTGTAAAAAAATATAACCACGTGTGTAATGTTTTAAAATAATTTACCAGACGGACATTAAAATAAAAATTAGTCATCTACCCTATTAGTTTATGTACAGAGTTTAAATCATTTGATATTTTCTAAGATAGATAATAATAACTACTGTCAATACATTTGCGCAGTTAGAACAGTACACGTCTATATTTATTTTAGTATATCAGCTGATAGGCGCCATTCTTGTTTATCCGACGTTTATATATATGTATCTAGTCTGAATAATTATCTAAAATGGTTCGTAAAATATTATTTAAAAATATTTTTTGTAAAATTAGCACTCATTAAATTTGACGCGGTTTGGTTTTGTCTACGAATAGAAGCTTCGCAAAAAAGAAACAAAATTTTTACGTTTTTATACTACTAATTGTGAGACATACTAAATTAACTAAAAGGCGCGGTTACTCACGTGAATATACTGAGAAAAGCTCTACTAGTTTCGAAACACAGAGGGGTTCTTCCTACCTACTTGCCAACTAGGCTGTAGGCTGCGCGACATCGCCATGACAATTTCTCTGTAGTATACTCACGCGAGTAACCCACGATTTCTAGTTAAGATTCTTTTAATTATAAATATCAGGAAACACTCATAAACACTAGTCGAGTCGAATAATTGTGTAAATCACTACATAGTATTCGCTTCTGTCCCTATGTATGCTTAGATCTTTAAAAGTACACAACGGATTTTGATGCGGTTTTTTAATAGATAGAGTATTAAGTAAAATCGCGGGTTACTCACGTGAATATACTGAGAAAAGCTCTACTACCTCTAGTTTCGAACCACAGAGGGGTTCTTCTTTTCTCAGTTTTAGTATGTCTCACGATAGTTATTATAGAGTAGTTATTAGAGTAGTTATTATAGAGTATTCTTAAGGTAGGTTTATATATACAAAAACATTGTAGTATATAATATATAAAAAGTCACTTAACCGATAAGCAATAAAGGACATTTGACAAATAAAAATATCTGCTTACCTACATAATAATAATGCAATGTTTAAGAAAACTTTTAAGCGCGTTGTATTAAACAAAGAGAAGCCATTGTTACGTATGATACAATACAATTATCTCGAAGTATTTGCATCCATTATTTGCCTGATAAGATCCTAAGGTTATCATCAACTGTTTATCTCTTGCAGCAATTAACAATAGGCACTGTGTAATGTGTCCCTTCATTGATATATAGATTAAATATTGTGCAGTTTGTAAAAATGATAAATTAATGACAATTATGCGATGAAGTAACTGATTTCTAAAGTATTTGTTTGTTTCTATGAAAAATAATGAACATAATATTGAGTAAACTACCCTTTCCCAATGAACTTATTACTCTAATGCGCAAATTTAAAAAAAAAAAAAAAAAAAAAAAATGCGCAAGAGGTTTTACGCAAGTTCAATTTCAATTATTTTTGTCGGAGTCTAGATTAGAAAATACAAATAAAAAAAATTAAAAGTACTTACTGCAAAACAAAATAACAACTCACCCACACAAACTCATGCCATTACCCCCATCAACGTAGAAAATACCACAATGCACCGTTTACTGCGATTCTTAGGCATCATTTTAATTTATAAATTGTCCATGTTTCACATCCACGACTTACTTATGCTCTCCGAGCTTTAATGTCATAATTTATTATTTCGTATTTGTAAAAAAATGCTTAAATTCGCTCAATCTATATTATTTTATTTGAGCTTGTAACCCTAATCCTATAATAACCTTAATATTCTCAAAGTCAATTGTTCAATACAATTTCAATAAGCACACTTATTGATTGATGAAATTTAATATAAAACAAAAAAATTAAGTTAGAGAAAAACTGAAATAATGAATTTATGTTCTTGGATCCAATATTTGTGTGATGAAATATAAATTATCGAAACATCGTTGTCTTTGCTACATCAGTAAAATATGTTCGTTTATA